TAGCTTGAGAACCTTCCCGAGTTGCGCCTTCTAGGCCCCGACCGCTTGCTGCATTCATTGCGAATGCAAATCTGCGTGCACACCACACAACGGTGATGTCTTTTCAGCGGTCGAGTCCTTTTACTCGCCTTGATTTGGTGGTGGTCCCGCCCGCCCTCGATCTTCCCGTGGTGTGTGGGCTTGCAGCCCACTTTCTTGACTCACTTCTGTGCGATTTGGCATCATGAAGGGACAGTGTATTATTATTATTATTATTATTATTATTATTATTATTATTATTATTATTATTATTTAAAGTTGTATTCTTCTCTCAATTTCACCTCACACTACCTATCTACCACTACTCCTAATTGTAGGCATACGGTGAACCTAGTTGCAGCAAGCACCGTGTTCACGAGAGAACACGAGGGGGCTGCTCCCGACCTGCAAGTGGGCGGAAGAGACCTGTGCAATAAAAAAGAAGAAAAAAGAAAAGGAAAAAACGAATTGGATGTCCCCAAGGATGCAGGTATAAAGAGGAGGTCGGCTCGTCGGGAGATGAAGAAGAGTAGGGGGTGAAAGGAAATAAAAGGAGGGCTGACTGTATTCATTTATAAGAAAAAAAATCTCTCAAATAATAGATCTCAGGGTTCACCATACGCGGATGGTTGATAGGTGGTCTTAAGAATGCTTTTGAACACTGGGTCCTAGCAATTCTTCTTAGGTGGTTTCGATGCTGTTAGACTCAGTAACTTATGGTTGTTCGATGCCAGAACGACGCTGTGACGCCTATGAAACACCCGCGGACACGTCCACGGGGTCAAGCTCGAAGGGCGGACGTGAATACGGCTTCCGCGGCTTCGGCCGCGGTTGGGTGCGGCCGCAACTTTCAGGATTTTTTTGTGACCTTAAAAATTTATCAAACAAAAAAACAAAAACTATGAGGTTGTAGACCTTTTCGAGATCTAAATTGCACAAATTTTTATTTTATTTTTTGGCTTCGTCCTCGAATTTTAAAAATTAAAAAACTTATTTTCCTGAGGCAAAAGCTGTTTGTTTGTTTTATTTCCAAAAAAAAAACATGAAACGTATGTGATTTTCTATTTTAAATTCAGTAACGTTTTTGGATATGACCACAAGGCAAAAGTTGTTCAGTATATTTTTCTACATAACATTTGTTTTTTTTCAGAATTTTTTGAATTCTTGTTTTTTTTTTTGTTTTTTTTTTTTCATGGCCGCGGCTGCGGACTTGTCCGCGGATGGCCGCCGCCGAGAGGGATTCAGAGTGTGACGCCCAAAACCTCACGCCCAAATCGACTTCCTGATCGGAGTGGGATGTGGGCCTCGAAGTGAGAAAAGGGGTGTGCCAAGGATTTTTGGGAAAGTGGGGGTGGAGTCCCAGGTCGGAACTGAGATCTCCTGTGGCAAAGTTTCGGGGGTATAAATGCAATAGGGCTAAGGGGCGAGTTACTTCCGGTCTGATGGCAGTCGAGGTCGTGCAGCATAAGGCAGATGGCATGCGCGGTGCATTCAAGGCCGTCCAATCCGTCTACTTTGTTGGGGGTGGTTCGGGGAGAGACCCGCCCGGGATGGTTTTGGTTTCGATGAGTTGGACCTTCGGGTGCAGACACGTGGCGTCTATCATTGCGCGTTTTGGTTAGGCCCCCTAGTTTCATGGGCTCGTCGGTTGCTACGTCATCGACAATTTCCGCAAGGCGTGCGGGGCCAGTACGGGGCGATGGAATTCCACGGAATCACCGTGAGTTGGTGATACCGGAGGAGGAGACGGAAGGGAGGGAAATTGGAAGTGATAACGACAAAGCCGAGGGATATGAAGTATTGCGTGTTGTCAGTAGTGGGAAAATCGGGGCACCTAGGATGGCTGGAAGTGGCACAGTGAAACTCCCTGGGGCACAATCGATTCTCGGTTAGACAGGGGAATTCTAGGTTTTATCTTTGCCTAATACATTCTCTCACCCAAGGGTCGAAGTACTCCGAGTCCCAGGAGCTCGGCATCTTATCATTGCGGTGTGATGGAATTTCTCCGCGCGCGTCTAACTGGCAGGGGGATTTTCCCGATGGGATATCGGAAATTCCTATCCGTTTAGGTGCTTGGGGGAAGGAAAATTCCCGCCTACCCGATATCGAAGGTGTCAAGTTCGTCAATGGTCACGAATTGGTGCGCGTGGATATGTGTAGGCTGTGCAGATCAGATCGCGCTTGCACGCATCCCCGCGAGGTACTCCCTTGTTTCTGGACAATCAACTACCCAATCATCTTATCACTTCGTGATCCCGCACGCAATCGTTCCTGAGCATGCAAGGTGCTATTACACAGCAGGCATCGCAGCAACAACAGTGGCTCAAAAGGGATAAACAACAATGGAAGCAATAATGATGACAACACAGAAGTTTCTACTATGCTCACGAGTGTATCCAAATGACAAGCAAAGGCAAGGACCATACAAAAGAAAAGCAACAGACACATTCGTTCGACAAAACACACAAAAAACGTGATCAAGATCAATCGCAAAACGAGTGTGGGCTGAAACCGAGACAAGGATTCCGAAAGCAAAAGAAAACGGGCGAGTCGCCCTGAGCCGAGATCAAATATTATATACAAAAGCAAAACGTGAGAAAAGACAAAGAAAACTGCAAATCCACGTCCATCAACCTCAACTCGCTCTTCCTCTCTCTCTCTCGCTCTCTCTCTCTCTCTCTCTCTCTCTCTCTCTCTCTCTCTCTCTCTCTCTCTCTCTCTCTCTC